GGAGGAAACAGCGATGACCGTCTAATGGAGGTTCAATGATTTTATTACCTTTTGAGCACTACAGGGTCATGCTCGGACTTACTACACAAACAGCACTAACTGCAACACAGGATAGGGTGCCGGTCCTGTCACCGATAAACACGGACAAGGATGGAACTAAGTGAAAGAAATGGGGGGGAGGGGCAGGTCATTTGTGACAGGTAGCTTAGGAGTTGGTGAAACGTAGGTCTGCGAAGTACGTGATCTTACATGGGTAAACTGTTCACGTGCAATAAATGATCCAGCGTTGAGTTAGAAGGTATACTTTCCGAAATGGGAACTGGTGGGTCAAACTAGTGAACACAAAGTGATCCAGCCATATGTATTCCAGAGCGGTAAAAATGGGCGTGCTGTCAGTGACTCCAGTCCCTAGTGTTCCTTTTACACCCACTTAACTCCGATGGTCAGAATGTGATGTTGCACACCCCAACGTCACACGATAGTTCGGCGTCTCAGCCTGCACATGAGTGAATTACATTTGTAAATTCGAACAAGCTCCTCTGATATGTGTGGCTGCAACCAAATGGCTGGAGTCAAACTGTTGGACAATGCTGGTAAAACATGCACTCTCAATCAGAAGGCAGTGATGTAGTCCAGTGGTCAGTCGGTGGTCGGGATAAGACTTTTGATAACCGTACAAAGCATTTGAAAGGGAATAATGTACGGTGACGCCCACCACATAGGGAAGAGAAAACGGCATCCGCAACACATTCAGTTTTCATGGTGAGCAACGGACAGAGTTCCAAGCTGCCTTACACGGTCACTGGTCTCACGATTTAGACTTTATAGAATAGAAAATGAGCCGTACCAAAGAGGTATAGAGTGACAAATGAATAAAGTGGTGGCACTCCTGTCAAAGTAGCCGCCACAAATGGCGTTTAAATTGATGACGCCGCTCAGTGAGTCAACGGCAATAGGGACCGAGAGCCAGAAATGGTGTAACACCAGCTGCACTGAACCAGATGCTCCGTGGCGCACATGATTCACAGATGTAGCTGAAAATCTTTTTGAATTAATTGGTCATGTAAGGACTGCAGTATGCTCGATCTCAGTGAATAAGACTGGTAGTTCATGTTCGCAGTTAGTTTGGCTAATTGCGAGCGTTGCTCCACAGAGTGATGGACACTGGTCAGCTTTGATGGAGGTGGGGCGGAGTCAAATGCCGTTGTCAACTCCAGTGGCACTCAGAAAACTCGGTACTGCTTCCATTGCTTTTGTTTCCGTTTCTATTCATTCCGACAAAAGTGGGAGCAGGCAAACCACACATAATGTTTCGTTGCTCGAAGGTCGTGGTGAAAGATTGACTGGTTGCAAACAACGGAGATACAAATCGTTGACCTTCCGCATCGAACAATGGTAAGCCGAAATGGAGCTGAACAAAGTGCACAGCTGTCCGGAACAGTTTATGATGTTCTGTGGATGGAGCACAGGGTTAGGTAGAACAAACACAATTCGTGTTAACCGTTACGCAGCTAACAAACACAGCGAGTAGAAGGGATGTGAATGTGTTTCTCACAGTGGACAGCAACGGCCATTTGGGTCGAATTGGTTCATAAATTCACTACGAATCAGCCCTGCTCATCACCGCATTACACCGGTAGAAGTGAAGTAGAGGGTCGAAAGTTCGAAAAGGAATCTTGATGATTACTCGCGTTTAAGTAGCTAATGGTAGCAGCGGCCAATAAGGAAAGTCTTCGCTTTGTTTACAGGTTGACCGTGCGCACTCACAAATAGTGAGAAATGATGGGATTCGAATAGCGTTTGTGTAGCATTTGTGCCTTCTGCTGTTGTGTTTGTAATTATGATTTGATTTCCCATCCAAAAGAACGCGACATGTTGGTTTGTTCACCGACCTCATCTTTTTCATTATAGGCGTTTCGTCCACGACTGAAGCGACATCGTCAGTACGTACTGGTATCGGTAGCAGCGGTAGTAGCCATATCTTTAAAAGCAGGAACTATGCTTCATACAAACCCAAAACTTCTGCAATCGAGTTGCCGTTTGCAAACACACCAAAATCTGAACACCCAATCTGAACCATCAATACTTCAATTTGTAGCCGAAAGCTTTTGATGGCACATCTCAATCTCATTGAATTACCGTTGCAGCTGGACATCGGACAGACTGCCTAGTGTTAAACTGATAACTCAAAATGAATCCTGTGAACCTCTGATTCTGGAAATCGAGACTGATTGTGAAGCCAAGCTGAATTAGAAGCAACATTACTGGTCGGTCAACTTAGTTTCCAGTATTTTGAAGGAAACGGATTGCAAAGCTGAGCCTACTCAGTACGCCAGTCAGTCGTGAGCGTGTTGATCAGAAGATGATAGTTTGCCACATGGCGATGTCGGCACTAACCGGCAGAGACACGTCCGACTAGCTTACCGCGAAATACGTTTGCACTTTCTTATCCGGGCTCAGACGTGTCGTGCGGTGCCGTGAAACGGTGATGCTTAGAAATGGAACCCACCTAACACACTTGACTCTGAGGTGCAATAACTAAGGCTGGTTGAAACTGGTTGTCAGACACTTGGAAGCACAGCATCCCCATTGGGACAACTAGAAAATGAAGTTTAATCAAAGCCGGAACAGAGAAGTCTTGTAAATGCTATCCAGGAAGACCCTTGTAGAAAGGGATATGCGAACCTTAGGTAGCTTATTTTCAACAAGGACAAGAGGTTAGTAAAAACGACTGGTTAAGGTACACTTTTGGAACTGCTTGTAACCGCAAGCGCTTATGTTGCCGTGAACATCCTTCGATAATTGTTTCAATGTACCATTTTGGCTTCCTGATTGGTGGAGAATCACAAATTGCTTTTGGCTTTTGGTACCATATCCAACCTTTCATTGGTTCTAGTAGATTGACTGTGCCTTATCTATTCAAGCAGTTAAATACTTACTGTGTGCCGCGGCCGGCTTCGACATTTGTGCATCTTTTAATGGTGCTATTGCAGTATTTGCCCTCATTGTCATGTATATGCACAGCACAGCTTTCCGATACACAGCAGACAGTTGCTTTCACTGCTGGAGTGAGCTGGGTAGACGCAATATTGTCATAGTAACTCATCGATTGCACCTTGCTCGTTTGTGGTGAGCATTAGAACTGAGCGTTTTGTGCGTCAGTGAGTTATTTTAAATGTCCGTAGAGTATTTGGGATGTCAACAAGAACCATTCCAGGGCTACTTCATCGAGGTCACGTCGAACAGTCACTGGACAAAACACATCCAATCTGAACTGGAGGATGTCTGAAAAAATGGTATTGATCACTACGAAGCTAGTTCACATCTCATTAACAAGCATAAATAAATAAATGATTAAATTGCATATTCCTCAACGATGCGAGAAACTGTTCCCTAGAAGGAACAGATCAAATAATGGTACAACCTTTCCATGACAATGCATTAATACTTTTTCAGAAATAAACATGGGCGCAATTTCGAATTAGGTAACACAAAGTAATCTGAATCGTTCCGCTATTTTTTCCTGCCATTGAATCAGGATTCCTCACAATCACATGATAGATGTTGGGGCCAAGAAAAAATGTAATGAAAGGGGCTGTTGTCCGAAATGTTATGTGTATTTGTTTCGAAAATGTATTCAGGCATTATCCATACCATTTTCGTAAGCGTCATCTAGGGACTGTGATGGCCCGAACATAGTAATCACGTTTTGGAGGGTGAATTGCTTACTAATTGTAAGCTTTAAATTGCGAAGTGTATAGCATTTTCTGAAATCACTTGGAAGTTTGTTCCAAATCTTTGGGTAGTGGGTTAGAAAAAAACGTTCGCTGATTCTGGTAGTAAATTGTGGATTGGATATCTGCTATTTAAAGATATGTGAACACCGTTATTAAAACTGCAAATTTGACGGTTTATGATTCTGTAAGGAAAACATAGGTTCAGCTTCATTCTCCGAAGCCAAACTGGGTCAAATCCAAGTTTATCGCATCGCTCTCTGTATGTCAGCTTTGAGGAATATCCACATAGCTTTTTCCTAAAGCTTCTCTGGACCCTCTCAACAGCATGCTGGTCGGATTTCTGCAGATTAGACTAGACCACTGAATAGTATTCCATACGTGGCAATATATTTGTTTTGTAAAGCGATATGCGAGATTCTGTGAGGTAAAAATGATGACAGATGTAACCGATGGTCATCATGGTTTTCGAAACTTGAAAGCCACAATGTTCAGAAAAGTTAAACGTGGGTGAATATTGCACGCCCAAGTCGCGAACTGCCGTGCATTGCGAGATATATGCGCCTTGTAGTAATAAACTGCCTGGTGGTACGTGGCATTTGTACGACAAGATATTACACTTGTCCACGGCAAGTGACATCTGCCACAGTTGGTACCAGGAGTCAAGGGCAGATAGGTCCTCCTGTATGAGACGTACGGCGCGCGTGGTGACCTAACTACATTTAAGAGTACTATCACCCCAGAGTCATGATAATCAATAGAGACTAGATGTACATTACCACGGGTACATGATGGGCTTAAGTCTGAATATGCTGGGCAATTGGTGGTATCAAGTGCAGTGAACACTCCTAACAGGCTTGCACCCAACAGTGAACGGATTTTAACCAGACCAACTTCAGAACCAAGCACTAAGGGTAACATACAACAAAATCGTTGAGCCTATCTTTCACAATGGCGATTAGCTGGCTGAAAAAGCCAATACTAGGGGTAGCGGTCGATGGTGGTTGGATAGACACATTGTCAAGGTTCCTATCCGTCGTGACGAAACCTACCGCGTCAAGCGGGAATGATTGTTAGGCATCAAGAAACATGGTGTGTCATATCGCAAATGCGGTGATCAGTCGTGACCTGGACAATGTCGGCCGCAGCACCGACGCGATGTACCAGGTAAACGGGGCTGCACTCATGACAACCGCATTATTGATTAACAAAGTGTAAGCAGTTGCATGAATAGTGGGGTATGCGGGTAAATACTGTTATGCTTACCGCGTAACTTGGGTCCTCTAACACATTTGGAGGGTAGAGCGCCTTGATGAAAGCATACATCAACCACTGACAAAACTCGCCCTCCGAAGTAGGGGTGTCTTGTTGGCACAGATGCACCTTGCCTTTGCGCGCAACAGCTGGAGTGTTACTAACGGTGCTGTGCAGACTGACTCGGTTTGGTGAAAGTGGCGGATGCAAAAATGTGGTGTGGTCCACATTATCATCGATCTCCGACTCTGGGAAGTTCGGAACGTCAGGAGAGTCAAGCTTCTGAAATAAAAATAATGCACATGGTGGAGATTACTTCAGTGACCAAGCACAGTATAAGATAGTTTTACTAGTTGTTCGGTTGTTCTCCGGAGAACAGCTGGAACGCCGCCTCCCCTTAACCAAATTGCATTCCCATGGCTTGCTTAGATGGAGCCAGAGAATGCTCAGCAAATACGAATCAGTACTGCTTACAGGCCTGACGTCACCAGGTCTGGAACATGTCGATCCTTTTTGAGTGTCTCCACTAAGAGGCCATATCGATGTACCTTGTGATAGTCGTCGACGATTAGAATCGACAAACGGATGCTACTAGATCAGAAAGACCAGGGTTAGATGAAATGGTCTTGAACAATATGAGTCAGTCACCGCAATGTCATGACTAGGGTAATCACGATGACGAATTAAGGGGGATGCGAGTGGTGGGCTAGTTTTCATGACGTGCTCATCATTTCAGTGGTATCTGTTAACTAGCGATAATTCACTGGTATGCATCTGACACTAGCCAGCTACGATGGGAGCCCTCGAAAGTGCAGTAGACACGCATCTTTGCCTTGTCCGGCTCCAGTACAAGTATCTGTGGTTCTGCACATTCAGATTGCTACAGACTTGGTCGTTCTCAGTCCAGGGCTGTGCTGTCGCACCCGTGATATGCCTCTCGTCGATGAAGCACTCAGACTTTTGACACTAAGTATAATGTTTGTATGCCCTCCTGCTGAGCCGTTTGTCCGCGTAAGTTTCATCATCGGACCAGATAGCAGGTATAGTTAGACTTCTTGGGAAGTTTGCACACAAGCTTACAAGGGAGTAGTAAGGCGATGGGAAGGATTTGAGTTGACCGCATCATAACTGAACGTAGTCAGACAGCCAGTACACATCAGGAAAGGTACTGTCTGATCGATTCATCTCCTTGGGAATCGCCAACTGGGGTTAGAACACGCTACCGTACTCTTCCTGGTGGATGGTTCAGACCACTGGACCACGCGAGATGACAGCGATCGACATCGCCAAGTTAACTGATGTGATACAGTGAGCTTCACTTTCCATTAACTTGTAAGTCGCAGCAAATAAACTGCTCAAGTCAGAGTACCGCTCAATATACCTATCCGCATTCGTCGATAGGGATTTCCCGGTTGGTTTAAGGCACAACCACTCATTCAGATAAAGCTATCGCACTGTCGCCTTATTCATATTTAGACAAAGTGATTAATAAACACATACTATCAAAGAATGTACTCACCTGCTTTTCTTTCGGTACAGGATGTGTCGGTTGTGGTCGTTTTCGGGTCATTATTGAACCAGTGAGGGGCCCGTTAGTGACACCGGTTGGATATGTCAGACCTCCTTCACCCGAAGCTTGAAATAACGCTGATGACAAGGACCCGCTTGGCGACTGTATCAAGTTCATCAAGACGGACCAAACATCTATTGAATCTACCGAATGAGGTAAAGCTAAATCGATGGGTCCACATAATGAGACCTGATCAGCTGTGAACCGCTCACGGACAGGCTCCTGTTGGCGCGGTTTACAGCTCAAATCCAGCGGTTGACTTGTCTCCATGGTGGCGATGCATTGTAGAGAGGAGTTTTGTTGACGATTTTGAGGTCCTAATTGACGTTCGCTTATCTGTCCGGAGTAGGCCATTGGCATTCGCGCCCATACGGGCCAGAGGTGGGGATGACCCCAAGGAATTGAGCACATCCTTGGACTATTATGGAGGCTAGTGGCTGCCATTGGTGATAGAGAAAATGGGTGACGTGATTGTCCTTGACTGGGCGCCATGTACGATGCCATATTATGGCTCATATGGCCATTGAGATTGCTGAGTGGTGGGGAAAAGTTGTTACCTGCGGATCTGACTTGGCTCCAAGGTAAAGTACCGGTTGTACCCATCCCCGGGAATTCGCGAAGGAAAGCTAACTCAGTGGGGTAGTGATGAGATGGGCTTGCACAGCTTGAAGTACCAGAATACGTCACCTGGTCCGATGAGTGTTTGTTTTTGAGATCGGTTGGTGATCTTCCTGAAACTGAAATAGCCCTTCCATTGGGGGTGGACTCTCGTACACTCTCATGTAATTGCCTCGTAGTATGTTCATACTCCGATTGTGAGTGCGGTTTCCTCATGAATGGCATCCATTTTGACAAGTCAAATGTGTCCGTTGGATCCTGGCACACTTCGAAGTTACCGTTCGGACAGTCGATTTGTCTTTTTGTCCCCCGGAAACGTAACGCGTGGCGACGATCGGAAAGCATTGCAGTGCCATAAGTAGGTTTATAATGGCCACTGTAATTCCACGGATGTAAGCAACGGACACCACTTAGATTCACCTGAAAGAAAAGTTAAATAAAACGAAGATGATGGAATACCATGCTACGGAGTTTTAATCACAACTGTAAAACGACTTGTAAGACAACAAACAGAAATGTTTTTAAATAAATCGGAGGTTATGATGTGAAGACTGGTGAAAGTCTGCGAAATTCGGAAGGCATCGCGTTTCATTGTGGGGCACATTTTGATTGTTAATGAGTTCCGGATGTAAAGGTTGGATTTTCACAAAAACCATTTCTCCAAATGTTTCTCAACTGGTTGCCGTCATGAAGGTAGCTTGCACACGGGTGGATGACAGCCAGTTAAAAGGTTATTTGTTCAGAATTTCACGATGTGGAGCGTTGCTCCGAGTTCCTGCCTTGATACAATCCGTAGCCTTGCTGAACTGCAACCAGTGCAGGGTATAGCATATACGATGTCTAACTAGCCTGGGTAAATCGCACATAGGCTAGACCGATGCAGGTACGTGGGAGGCAGAGCAGCGGTACACACGGCTAGACGGGCATGGTAACATCCAGGGATGCCAACCATGTCCGCATGTAGGCGATTATTTTGCATCGAGCCCGATTAAGCATGGGCTGTAAACCATCGGACCGCAGGCAACCAACTTTGGTACGTTCAAGACCAGTAATCACAGGAGTGAAGCCCGTAGTTTGATCACGCACCGGGACCGCCATCGTGACACACGACACTCTTCCCTTCCTTCTCATGTGTTTAAACTACCTCAAAGTACCTGGTTTAATGTATGGTGCTCATCTATCCTGATTTCCAATCAGGTTATTACGTGGAAGACGTCGCTGTATCCGCAGTGTTTTGAAGATAGCCTTATTTCGTGTCATGCTCACGCACAAAATCAGTCACTCGATTAATCAGTGGAACGGAGCCAACCACGATCAACGGTCGTGCGCACTCAGTGTCCAAGAAGATGGAAGAATCAATCCTCATTGGAAAATTGGGGAATATCTTGACCCCACACAGGTCATCCATTGACTTGGATCGCGACAAAATCTATCGTAAATGCCCACATGAATAACCATTTGGCCGCTCAAACAAGGCCTGCTATCCAGCGAAAAGCAAAACGATAGCTTGTTAGGGCTTGATACGAGACAGAATTACAAGTTATTTGAAAGAATGCAGCGTAATACATCGAGCTGGTAACGTGTCCAGCAACAATTTAGTGGGTACGTCAGTTCAATTACACTAAATCAGCAAAAGCTACCACTTTAGTATAATCGATTATGGGTATAACTGAAGCAAAAATTCGCTCTAACAAGCGTGAGGATGAACTGTTCGTCAGGGACGGGGTACTTCGACGAACGGGATAACCAAGTTTCGAAGTCCAGTTGGATTGCTGTGCAAGACACTAGTTCTCTCAATGGCTCATGTGTGAACGGCATACCCATCGACCAGAAGCAAGAGACCATATGGTCAGGATGGTTGGTTGATAGTATGACCGTGAACAACGCGGTACCATGCTGATATTTCAGTGATGTAGTCCTCTCTGACACAAGTTGCACCAGCGTATCTGCCTCCATAATTCTTTGATGGGCTGATTGGCGAAACATTTTCATGACGAAAGGTTACGGTGGTGCGAAATTTTGTGTGGTGGCAGTGATAGCAATACTACTGATAACATTAATAATATTTAGGGGTATTCATTTGCGGATTTGCCTGACACTGTAAATATAAACATATATCCAGGTCACATCCGACGGAAAGTAGATGAGATAAGGCGAGGGAGCGTACTGGATGGGACCCTGATAGACCTAGATACTACCCGCACTCCTGTTAAGGAGATGCATACTGGACATAGAGTTTTTGCAATAGTTCTTAATTACTGGCTTTCATTTCGCTGTCGTTTGTTTATTAAAATTCATTCAAAGGCACTATTTCTTTAATTGGATTGGCCAGCATGTGTCATTCGTAGTGGATGTTATCTCAAGGTCTCATTTTTTTCATACCCTTTGCTCGGACACAGATGATTATTTTCGATTGTTACCAGTTCTTATTCGCCTGCGTTATTCAGTGTCTCCTATGCTGGTGATTGGCTTTGCTTCAACTACTACTGTACTCTAGTTAGGTGAAGCAAATTTCTCATGTATACAATTCTGTCCTGGCTAGGTTACCGTGTGCTTATTAAAGTCATACGGGCTCGAAGAGCCGGTAGAGATACTACCCCTTCCAAGTGCAAATCGTTCATGTCATATTGAGGAAACACATGTATCAGAGATGCACAGGGCAGTCGAAAGGACCCAGCCCGTTCCACACACTGGATGGAACCACTCCAGCGCCACCACGAAGAAAGTACACCAATCCATCTCAGTAACGAGTAACAGTCGCTTATAGCAAGTAATTGAGACGGTACTATGCGACGACTACACCGTTTCACAATTTATGGAGAAACAAGATTTCCTCAGGGAAGAATTTGATCTCCATTAATGCAATTAACTGAGAGAACATATAGATATCAAGCTTAAGAATATCGAACATTCTGTACATTAAGACCGATTTAAACAAGCATAGTTACTATGATCTGTGGAGAATCCTTAGAAAGCTCTGGAAAACATTCCTGCAGAACACTCAGTACCGAACGTGCAAACATACTCAACGGTGAGTTCAGTTTCTCATCCATTAACACACTCCCAATACCTTCATTGGCTTTCACAAAGCGCCCCAGTATTAGATTCTACAAATGTTGAAATAAGCCCACAGGGATGAAACCAACCATGGCTAGTGGCCCGGATGCTCTATGAACAATCGTTCTGAAAGAGTGCGCAGATGTTTTAACGATACCCCTGGCAGAGATATTGACTAGGTGCTTATCTATTAGTACCGACCTCGAAATTTGGAAATCAGGCAGAATACTACCAATGCCTTAAAAAGGATATCGCAAGTGTCGGTCAGTTGCAATCACGTCTGTGGAAAAACGACTGATTCCCCGAATTTTCACAGGCAGTCATTTGAGGATGTTAAACAGTTCGCCTATAAATCAGGGCACGCTACATTGAATGTCGTTTCGTATCTGGTGCATTCCATTGCGTTCGTTTGGGGTAAAAGCTACAATGGCATACGGCTCCGATTTCTCGGTTATACCAACGCCTTTGGGAGCCTCGATAGCTCATAACCCCTCAACATTATGTCAGAATGACACCTTCCATATGTCGGTAGTGCTGTGTGAATGCATCTCCAATCCCACAGAGCTCGCGTACCCAGTGGCAGAAAGTTTTCTGCACTCCAAGTCAAATACGCTGTTTTGCAGGGAGCCATCCTATCCGGCGTCCTATTCTCCGTCTAGGTCGAAAGTCTACCTATTCCATTGAACTTCACTGGCTGTAATGCTGATGACATCGTTCTAGGTTGCATAACCAACCATTTAGGACACTTTATAATCCCAATGAGGGTTTGATGTACTAGTGATTTGGCCGAGCTCTCTCTGTCCCTCTCTCGCAACTCTTACAAGTGTTATGAAGTAACGTTCCACTTTTACATCTCAACAGACTGCGATCCCGAATACATATCTACCCTCTTATGATTGCGGATAGTGAAAACATACCTCGTTCCTCGACCATAGAATATAATGTTCTTATGATGTGTCTTGGTCCACACATATGGTTGAAACTAAACTAAAATACTCCCTTTTTGCGTCATCATGTTCAAAATGCCTCCCGTTCCCCGTGCTTTACTTCTAAAGTTTGTAATTGTACGTATTCTACCTTCCTGGTTATACTGTTACGCGACCGTTCTCGGCTTTCGCTCGGCCTCGTCGGGAATAATGTGCCCAGGCTTGTCCGCCCTGCCTCGTCCGGGACAAACTGGAGCTAGACTGGGTGTTACGGGTGGGTACTAGGTTAGTCCAGAGATTACGGGGACGGACGTACCCCGAGCGTCTACTTAGTTTGGGAATGCATTCAATGCACTACCGAAGGCTTGGAGGAGACCCAATCCTAGCCTACCGTATCTTGACTGGGAAGGTTGGTCTAGATTTATCTTGGCTATTCAGTCCCGCTAGATTGTCTGCTCTACGCGGTCATTCCTTGAAGCTGGACAAACTGCGGTCTGATCGGATTAGGGCGGAAATCCAGCTGTCACACCGAGTCATCGAGCGCTGGAACATGCTTCCGGAAATTGTTATCAAGGAGTCTACGGTTAAGGGATTTGAGCGGCAACTCGGTACTCTTGGGTGGCAACACGAAACCTTTCCCTTTTCCTGACTAACGCTCATCTTCATGCTTCGATTTTCTTTTCTCTACTTTTCTTCATGCCCTGGTATTATTTTCTTATTTTAAGTGCGTTGCCTTATTCTGTACATTTGAGTTCTCCTACTATCCTTTGCTTCCTTTACGTGACTGTCACAGCGGGGACTGCTAGGGCAGGGAACTTGGGTAATAACTGGTTGGCCATGGTGCGATACGGGGGTTCCGTTTTAGATCCATCAATAACTCTGTGCACTTCATCAATTCCTGGCTTAAAGATGGAACATTCACAGGATTCTCCTATCGTTCCAGTCCCACCCGAACTTGAACTTGAGTTTGCCATTTTCCCCGCACTGCTTCAAAAGATTGTCCGTCTTGACTGTTCACTAAAATTTATTTCTCGTTGCTCTGAGGTAAGGAAAGAACCGCTGGTTGATTTTATCGTTAACGAACATTTTGATGCATACATCAACTTTACGCCCAAGTTTCTATACTAATCTCCTCACCTTTTACATACTGTCCTAGCTAGTGCTATACCTACTGGTCGAAATTTATTGTCTTATATTCACATCGTATCACAACTTCATGCTGCTTAAGCTGTCACGTTTACTATTCTATCCATCGGGAATGAGACACAGCCTGCGCGACCATATACTTGATTGAAGATGCACCTTTTACGTTTTATTGTTGTAACTTTTCACTTTCTCATTAATGCCTTGTATCACATCCCACAGTGTTAGCGTGAAGTGCTGAAAACGCTCCCCAAGTGTGTGTAAAAAGCTTGTCATTGTGCCTTAGTGACTTGG